TCCTTCGGACATCTTGAAATCCAGAGAATTTTCATCTGGTTGCGTTCCTTCCGTGTCCATCTTTTCTACGACTTTAATCTCTCCTGATATTTTTCGTTAGAAACGACAGTCAAACCCACAGAAATCCTACATAAGCAAAAACAGCAATTCTACGAACCATTCTCATCCAATTGTATCGTCTGCGGATCGCCCATTATGATAACTCCGTTGCTGCCCATCGTCGCGAGGAAGCCCCGATTAATCTGCTGCGCCTTGACATCCTAAAATCAACAGTTGCAATTATCTTTGATGGAAAAACCAAACAGTTTGAAACTCTTTTTATATACATTGAGCTTTGAATCATTGAATATTTAAAAGTAATGAATTAATCCACATGCACATATTAATGTACAATATTATCTAGCGATATAAGTTAGCAAGTAGACAAAACAATTTGCTCCAGCCACAAAATATGCTTTTGCTCCTTTTGTGAAACTGTATCATGCATTAAATTGAAATCGAAATTTTCTGTATAATTCAATTGAAATTCATGTTTGCAGGTTTTGTTATTTCAAGATTTCCAAGACTTCCAAGCAGTTTAAAGGTTCGTGCGACAATTACATCTTTAAAAATTGTCACGAACATTTTCTATCATAATCAACGTTTAAAATAACATGAGACAAATGTTTGAGAAGCTTGTGATAAAAAGCCCTATGTAAATCGCCAACAAAGCTATTCACGTTCCCCTTTTGCCGTACCATTAGCAAATCCATTTTGATCTCGGGCTCCTTTCCGCCCTTCCTGAGTTTGTCCGCCAGAACCTCCGGCTTCATCTTGTACCTGAGATCGTGCTCGCACATGTCCAGGTGCTGAATGAGCGCTGTCACGGAGTCGGAACGCTGGGAACAGCCGGGGCAATAGAGATTGTCCGTCAGGCTTAACAAGTGGTACTTGAGGGACTGAGGATTGTTGAAGGTCTCGCCGCAGCACATAGGGCAGATGAGGTTGATCGAGCCCATAATTCAACCGTCGGACTCTCCCCGGGATCGGACGATCGGCACCGCGCTGCGCGCCCGCGGTCTGCGATCCACGCTCTCCGGTCAGGTACGGTTTAACCTAGCGCGGGACGTCGGACGGATGCGTTTGCGGGAACGTATCTGCGGAAATCTCTCATCTCGCCTGTCGAATATCCGGCAAAATTCCGTACGTGCCGAACCGAGCCGTCCTGTCCTCCTCCCCGCGCAGCGGTCCACAGCACTCGCGGCGGCCTGGTCACCGCGACAACAAATCCATTGGAGACGAACTTCAGCGCAAACAAATGCCGCACACAACAATCGTGAAGTTGGGAATTTAATAAGTGAATCTCGAAGTCGGCCATTACAACGTCGGACCCGCCGCACGTCAAGTTAGCGCGTTCATCGCGCCCTCTTCGTAGCTGCACCTGCACCTTCTGCACTTGAAACGAAATGGATATATGTAATTAGACGTTGGACAGAAAAGGAAAAAAGAAAAACAAAGTGCATAAAGTACATAAATATCATAGCGCCAGACGACGCTCATTTTAAATGGTCGTCATTATGTCAATTTTCTTCAATGAAATGAAGAGATTATAATCGCAAACTAAAATTAAAAACTAAGTTGTATAAGATATATAATTTAAATAAGGCAATGAAAGTCGAGCACAGTTTATATTTATGGAAACAACCAATTAATAAATTTTAAATATAAACTGATCTATAGAATGACCAAACAATTTTATTAACATTAAACTTACACTTTAGCTTAAACGTGTATACAAATAAAGGAAGAAAATTAGAATATATGAAACTCATCAGTGTCGGTCAATCGGGTCAATGTTGATATTTTTCACTCATGAGCACTAATTCCGATTTCGAGTAATCATTAAACTTGCAGTTAGTCTTTTAGTAATAAATAAAGCAAGCAGTAAATTTGGCAGTAATTAAAGTAACTTAAATTTAAACGAATTCTTGGAATTTCCCTTATCCTCATTTATATATGTATATATTTATTTTCCTTCTTCCTATTTACAAGTTTACAAAATGAATAAATAATTCAGCAATTAGTCTGCCTTTCTCAATCAGCATGCTCGTGCTCTTCGTTACTCTCGAGCCAGGTATTCTGAATAAGCTCAACGAACTGTTGCCACCATCTGCTACGCGATGTGAAGTACAGCGCGCAGGCAACTATGAAGACCCACGACAGCACCAGACAATAGTCCGTCTCGTTGGAGGGCGTGCTCGAAACCGGGCCCGTAAAGTCCGCCGACGTAACGTACAGCGAGCCGTTCGGCTGCAGGTTCGTCAGATGAGACACGAACTTGGCGAACGACTCCAGGGTATAGGTCGTGTCGTTGAATTTGGCGACAGGCTTGCCGTTGTGAACCAGCATCAGCGTCGGCACCCCAACTATTCCGTATTGAGCATTGAAGCTGAAAGCGATGTATTTTCTTACGCTGAGAAAAAATCCAAAAAAAAATATTTATTAGGTGGCTCCTAATAGCATATTTACTTATTTTTTTACACATGATTATTTAGAATTAGATATTTTTATTTCAATTAAATAAAAATATCTAATTCTAAATAAATATGTGGAAAAAGTAAGTAAATAATGCTATTGGGAGATACCTAATAAATATTTTTTTGGAATAAAATATTTTCTTCTCAGTGTAGAATCAATTTTGAATACCAAAGGACAAGAAAAAAAGAAAAGTGACAAATTTTCTTTCCATACGTCCGAATTTTGTAACACTTACCTTTGGTGTTTTATAGCGTCGATGGCTACGGCTTTAACGTGGGGAAACGAGCGAGGTATAGCGTTAAAATGCGGCGCAGCTTGGCTGCTGAATACGCACCATCGGGCATAGAATAACACTAGAACGCACGTTCCTGGTAACTGTTTACCGTCTTTGTCGTTTCTGGAACGATTTGAGGGGCCAGGCTCCAAGATCAATAGCTCCATGAGTCTAGTCGCATTGACAATCTATAACAATGACAGATTTATAAGAAAGCTATATTATCTTGTTCAATATATTGTACTATTTTATAAATTTGTAAGACCTCAACAGGACCGTAGATCTTCTCCGACGAGCAATTAACTTTAGTAGTATTGGTTGAGACCGTGACATTTACTGGAACATCGGCATTTACGTTCGCAGACTCATTCGTTTCATCTGTATGAACCTGCTTACTTTCTTCTTCATTGATAGCATCCTCAGATACTGTTTGTATTGTAAATACTTCCACTTCTTCGCTGTTTGCGATATTAACTAGAAATTACAGATAATATACTTTGCGTTAATCCTAAAAGCAGTTTGAAGTTGAGAACGTTTATGCAAACTTTACAGTTTAGCTTTATCGGAGATCAATATATTCAGATATCTAGCAACTGCTAATATCTGTAATATTTAATAATTATTAGATTCCCTTTATGCAAAGAATGTATGATGAAAAATAAAAACTAATAATTAAATTAATTATTTCTTACCTAAGATTAGAGGCATAACAAAGCCTATGAAGCTTATTCTCAATAAGTTCATCTTTGGTGTATGGCATTAAACTACTTGTGTTACGATCAAATTGATAAATCGATTCTGTGGTTTCCACCGATGCGACGGAATGTACAATCCGTTTGACTTTGTGGATTCCTCAGATATCTTGGTACGTCAAAATGCATTAATTTCACCTTGAAACAAGTTAGGAAGATTTAGGTCTCTCTTTTTCAGCAGTCCTATCAAGTAACTGTCCTAAAACATTCAGTTTGCCAACAACCTTCAAAGAGTTCAAAGTCCATCTTAGGTGACTTATTCATTGTTCTTAATCCTCTTTAAATAACTATAAAAACTAGAATAACTCTCTATATAACTGGAATCTTTAAATAATTAGAATAGAACATATATATATGAACAATCTGCATAAAATATTTTTCAGATAAAAATTAATTGCACGTTGCAGTTATTAACCGGTGGCCAGTACAATTATATGTTAATGAGTTAAATAAATAAATTTGTTCAATCATATTAATTGCACGTTTCTTCTTACCTAAGTAGATTCAAGTCTACACTCAAAATATAACCTACAAGTCTCTATACCTATAATTTTAAGGTTAAGAGCTTAAAATTGATTTTAATCCTACTTGTCTCTCTAATTTATCGAAGTACAGGTATTTATCACTTCTATTCAGTCTTTGAGAGTCTCGCGTTTCAAACATAAATGTCGGGAAAGCAATAAACAGGTTGTTTTTCTTTTTTTTACAGTAAGTTCGGTTAGTTACACCGCTCGACAATTGATCCACTTCAGTCTTCAGTGTCAGTGCATGAATATATATATGCAGTATGGTTCGTCCTTATTGAATATACTCACAAGCATTTGACGCACGACAATTCAAAAAATGAAATGATTTTCTCATACTATGATTCCATGAAGGAAAAAGAAAACAAATTGCACATGATTGAGTTGCATTTAATTACGAAACAAGTTTTTAAAAAATATTCAATACATAATAGTCATATATATACATATATTATAAACATTTAAATATATAATTGTCTTTATATATATATTTATATATAGAGATAAATATATATATAAAGACAATTATATATTTAAATGTGAAAGCGTGATTTGAGCAGTTTTTTAGTTTTAATTTTTAATAAGTATGTCGCAAAAAATGTGATAATATTAGCATTGAGCATCTCAATCGGTCAAAATGCTCGTTAAAGCGCTCATTATGAC